TGTTTTCTTAACAGTGACACCAATTCTAGTCAGAACTGCAAAGATGGTAAAACTTGACTTGAAGACTTCCTGGCCTGTCTTTACCATTCACTCATCTCTATTTTAATATTGTGTTTCTATACATATTAATACATATAACATTATATAGAAGTCCTGCATAAGGCTTAGGTAATAATGAAAGTATGATATAAACTTTCCAAGGGGCACTTGAAGAATGTGACTCATGAAGAATGAATAGTCATCATGAGCCAAACATTCTTCATGTTTGAATTTCAGGCATCATGACAAGTGGTGCAGAAGATATTTTAGGACCTGGGATATTGCCCAGGACTTTGTTATATTGCATAGCTCAGGAAACGATCTGTTTGTGAGATCGGCATTATAGTGGACTCCTAAAGGACAGATAAACGGTTAATAGCTAGACTTTTATACTGTATCCTAGACAAGGGTCATGATTCTCTGTGGGGCAAGTGGACTTTTAGACACAGGATCAAAGCTGGTATTGCCTATTTCTGTTCCTCTAACTTGGAAGAAGAGACTACTTTGCTCTCCCCAAATGACCCTTAGGAACAGAGGCCAAGATTTTAAAGGGGAAACTCCCCTTGAGAGGAAAGAGTTGAATATGAGTTTCCTGCCAGTCCCTGAACTACAAGTCAGCATGCCCAGAATAAATGTGGTAGAAGAAGGGGGAAGTGCTATAAGCAGATGCTACTGGGACAGCCTGGCTGTTATCAGACCCTCGTGGTGCCGAAGACCATCTTCTCTTGACAGTGGCCCCAGGCACGCAGGGCCCCCAGCCCTCTGTGTGTGAGATGCCCCAGAGTTCTGGTATTCTGATGCTTGATCACACCAGGGTTTCCTGGCATTCACACTGGGTGGATGATTTGAGGAGGCCTCTTGTGTTATTTAAAGATCTGTTTGGGGCTCTTGCATCCCGTTGTGCCTACAGGGACCCAGATGCCTTTGACCTAAGAAGAGTTGGAGTCAAGCTTGTGTTCTTGCTCAGGCCTTGGGGAAGCCACATTAGCAGCTGTGAACTTTGTGTGCATGGCCTTAAATAACTCCTTTATTCAAGCCAAGCTGCCCTTGCCTCCCCACAGTTCTCTAACACCCTTGCAAGGGTTGGGCAAGGGAGAAAGAGTGGAAAGGGAGATGGGAAGGGCTGTCATGTCGTCATTTCTTGAAGTCAATTAAACTTATTATTTCGTATTGCCTCTACCAAAAGGAGCTCTTTAGATGCTACAAAATTCACCCATTCATCCACCATTCAATTGGTC